AACTATTAAAGTTCCATTTATAAACACAATGAATTTTTTGCTGTTAGTTTTCCCTACTGGAGGTGAATTTTGATAATAACCCCAATTTTAGGGACCTAATAGTCATTAGCATTTATTAGTCCTCTTTTATTTCTGTTCAGCAGAGATAAAAAATGATAATCTGCACATCATGAAACTAGAGAATATGAATTCAAGTTGTATGAAATCTGAAAGCATATACTTCTATGTAACACTTTATTTCAGAGCTGACAAATGAGGATATATTTGCACTGAAAATCTTCTGAGACTCTTAGGGCCCAAACAACATCGTACAGTTTCTAAAACCTTTGCACCTGTCATTTGTTGTATTTTTACCCATTATAACATGAATGAATCTTTTATTCCATCTGATATAATATGTTACATTGCGATACAGTTAAGTAAAATTACTTCATTGGCGATAAATATGATTGTTGAATGGTTATCTCTACAGCATATTTTGATGATTCATTATCCACAATTTTAATAAGCATCACTAAACCTAGTGACAGAATATTTTTAAAATTTTGACTTTCAGAGACCACATTTTCAAAATAAATGTGACTCTAATTTTATTTGTATTAATCCAAGTTTAGGTATTTATCAATGCGGAAGATGCATGTACATAAAAATAAGATCCTAAAAGCTCTATGTAAAAGAGACTCAGCTCCAGACTCAAATATCTTTTGAGGTTGATGGAAAAATTACAATGCTTTAGAGATAGATATAAATAAGTCTGAGCTTTTATTGGTCTTAATGCTTTTTAAGCACAAAACAAGAGTAGAAACATTGGATTTTTTTGTTAAGAGAATCAACTAACTTAATGACACTGGGCTCGTATAGGAAGTAATTAAATATATATATATATATATTTGAAGACGTATGTAACTTCATTACACACATTAAATTCTCCTGAGTTTCAAACAGGAAGTAGTATGTCCCTCTTGTTTATGTAAATATACTGAGTGAGATACGATGCCTGAGGGATGTTTCACTTTGTGAACATTCTGGCTTCCCTGTCAATAAAACTTGGGAAATGAAAAGGAGTTTAAGGAATGATAGGCTATTCGTATTTAAAAAGTGTAAGTTAGCGAGACATATTTTATTTCTTAATTACAGCATAACAACTCCATTTATGGCATATTAAATATGCTTATGTCTTGCATAGATACACACATGTATATATGTAGATAGATAGATATATTGATAGATGATAGATAGATAGATAGATAGACAGATATAACAACTTTTCAAACAGTCTAAACAAAGGAGAAATATTTGAAAATTCTGGGGAATTAAAATAGCACCTAGATTTTTTTCCTTATATTAACCATACCAGTTAACTAATTTAGTTCTAAAATTGGTGTTTTAAAATATTTTTATCAAGCAAATTACTTCATGCTTTCTTTGAACGCTCTCTCAGTTGTTTCTCCTTTCATTCTCCTAGCATTAATTATGACCTGGTATCTCATTTGTCTGTTTATTTGTCTGTCGGTCTGTTAACCAAATTTAAGTGCCAACAACAAGCATATTTCAGCTCCCAATCATATCCCTTACAAGTTCTATGATAATATGCCTAACACACTGCCATTCTAGTCACATTTTCTAAGTATCATGCAAATAGAAAAATAATACTTTCCTGGTTTATTCCAGTGTATACATAAAATCACAGGATGATATGAAACCGAACTTTACTGAAACAATTACATACTAAATAAAGTTTTACTACTATTCTGTGGTATGCTCTTTTTTATTCTTTAAATATCTATATAATTAATATCCTCCACCATTAATTTTAATTTCATTTAATTTGAAACCGTAAATTGACCTAAGTTCCCTAGATTTTTTCTGTATTTTTTATTATTTGACATTTACATATACATTTATATCCCTCTAGTTATAATCAACTGCAATCTTGATACTCTGGTCTTCAATAAGAGTTGATCAGATTAGTATTCATTAAATATCAACCTATGTTGTAAGACAGCAAGCCTTTGATAAAATTATGATTGTTGACCTACTTACTTTCAAATAGTAAAATTTACCAAAGTTTATTCATGAACCAAAACATGTTTTTTTCTTCTTGTTCATGTGTGTGTTTTTATTAACCTACCTCTCTCACAGAATACATGCCACTTTCCTGACAGGACATTTTTAGCAAGTCAAAGTGCATTTCAGTTAATGTCACCCATGCCACTGCTTTCTTTTTGTGCCCAGGGCAATACTTTTATTCCATTCTCATTATTTTTAACAAGCACTTCGAACAGTATTTGTTCATGATCCTATACAAATGACCAAATACTTTAAGTACAATATCTAGTTATTTACTTGTATCCTATGTTCTAAAGCAGAAAAAAGTTGTATGCTACATTTCTACAAGTTATTGAAAATCGCACAGTGAAACTACCTATTTATTATTTCCTGACAATTTTTTAAGAAAGTCAAATGCAGATGAACAAATTTTACCATAGTTGAAATCATTGTAGCAGGATAGGTTTCCTTTATTTTGTTAATTATTTTTCAAGGTATATATTAAACTATAAAAGTTGTCCCTATGGTAGAGATTGCAAACATATTCCTTAAATGAAGTCTACCATTTTAAAATTGATATTTTTTCAGAATGTCCGGTGAAGAGACCCAAAATAGTCTTATTGTCTGGTTTCAGTTTTCCAACACCACATTTTAATTTTAAATTTAGTTGTTTCTCTTATTTTCTAAATAAACTCTGTGTATTTAAAATCAGTTCTACAGTATGGTAGTCATATATTAATATGGCTATTAACATTGATATTAAATTAGAGGATCCTGCCAGGATTAAACAGATTCAGTGGATAAAAAAAATCACATGAAGTGTGTATTGAAAAGTGACAGAGATATGTAAAGAGTTGGAAGGAAGTGAGTATGCGAATATAATCAGAAGATATTACATACATATATAGAATTCTTAAATAATAATTAAAATGTAATATATGAGACAAACTGCACAAAAATTATTCAATTACTTCGTATCCTTTGCAACTTTTCAGGTACTCAAATAACATATACTTAAGAGCTACCTGTTTGCTTATCAAAAACTGAGAACATTAGTCATTGCAGAAAGTTTTATTGGAAAGGGTTGATTCAGAGAGTCAATTCTGTCATACAGTTTTACAATTTAAAGTGCTAAGTTTCATATTTTTAAGTAGTCAAATATTTGACTAAATCTCTAGAACATTTCATGCATGCTTCTGTACCCTGTGCTTGGCGCTTTTTGTTCAGACTTCAGCCCTTTTAATCATTATAGAACAACCTGTATATTATTTTTGTAAAAGAGAAAAGACAGGAGGTAGAAAAATTGTTAAGAAATGGGCTGACAAGTGAAAAAGGAATATCATCTCTTTTTTTTCTTATTCACTAGAAAAGCAAACGTCATTGCAGAGAACTAATCTAAAATGATTATGGGCAAATCTCCAAAACTATCTGTTTTATATCACTACTTCAAGTAAATCATTCTTTTTAGAATTAATTTATACACTTAAATATCTGTATCCATTTAAGTTCACTCAAGGAGAATGTTGTTTTTAATTTCTTTATAAAGACATGTGTCCTCTGAAAACAATGGGGTCAGTTGAGCAATTTTTCCATATTACACATCACCTGGGTCAATATCTACAGGTAATAACCATCAGAATGAAATAAGAGTGTGTTTTTTCAGTACTTTACTACAGTAATCATAATGTCAATTATAGTTTTGCAGTGCATAGTCAACAGTATATTTTGAAAAACTATTTTCTATCAATATATCTACAAATATGTTCAATATCTGAAGTCCACTAAGTATATTGTATTATTTTGCATACCAATACCTAAGTTTTCAACTATTCTGCAGAACTTCCAAGTAATTACAAAAAATTACCCATGCATTTGGTACATCAGACCTCTCTGTACTTATTCAAATAGCATGCAATATTTCATATTATTTCCTAAAGATTTGAATGAAGTCAAACTATACTTTTTGAACTTACTGAAAAATCTTGACAAATAAAGTTACTTACCTTTTAAATGAGAGCAAATGACCTCCAAGTTTTCAAATAATTCAGAAAAAAGAAAAATATGTAGTACTCAAAGAAAAATAGCTAATGTTTATCCCTCTTTGAGGATTGTGAAGATCGTTAGAGATCTAGGCCTGACTTGAAATCAGGATGAAAAATTTTATCCATATCAAATACATGCACAAATATTAATAATAAAAGACTTAGATGGAGACTAAGGGAGAATATGGAAGGAGTTAGGAGCAGGTGTTGTGCATATATATTTATCATACTGTATTATATAATGCATGAAATTCTCAGTAACAATGTCCTCCATATTAACCTCTCATAATTTTGACACTTTTCAGTGATGAGATTAAACTTGTTTCATGTGAAGCATTCATGTTTCTAATTTAAATAAAAACATATATTGAGGAAAAAAAGATTAAGCTTGTTTTGAAAATAATTCAAAAATTAATTTTCTTATCTAGTCATTCTTTTTTTTTTTTTTTTTTTGGTTTTTACGAGACATGGTTTCTCTGTATTGTTTCGGAGGCTATCGGTCCAGCCCGGCCTCTAACTAATAGAGATCCGCCTACCTCTGCCTCCAGAGTGCTGGGATTAAAGGCGTGCGCCACCACCGCCCGGTTTATCTAGTCATTCTTAAAACTTATAATTGTGTGTTTATGTGAACTTTATGACAAGGCAATGGCTAGACAGATTCAAAGTCAGATACCAAGTAGTAGTTGAGTTTCTTGTTTGTGACCTATATTTATTAGTGTAAAGCCGCATATATACACACAGAGCAGGTTTTCAAAACCATGTGATTGAAAAATATACATTAATGAATTTTCTCTAGTTTGCCTTGCAAAAGCATTGAAAAATTAAGATGATAGCTTACTCATAAGAAAAAAAGATCATATATTCTAAAAGGATGTTAATATTTTTAACAAAAATATTTTTAAAACACACCTTAATTAGTTGGTAGTTTTGGACTCCATTTATTCCGATGTCAGGATCAATGGCTGCCGGAAGAGAATACCGAGAGTTTATAGCCGAGTTTTCTGGAATTGATATGTTGATGACAGTTGCCGGGAATAACGGTGCATTATCATTTATATCTTCTATCAGAAAGCGTATCTTAACCAATCTAAAAATTTCATCCGGCAAAACAGCAACCTCCACTTCATAAAAGCAACGGGCATCCAGCACGATTCCAGCACATAATTTCTCACGATCAATGCGAGCGCCAGTAGTGAAGATCTCACCGGTACCTTCTTCAATCCGAATAAGTGGTACATCCCCGGTTTTGTAAACCAATTTGAACTGCATTGGAGTGGTTAAGGACTTGTCGGGTATAAGCGACAAGTTGAGGTCTTTCAACAAATCGCCTATCAGGACGTTCTCTGGCATTTCTTCTCGAACCGTATAATTCTTCTCCTGGGCGCCAGACTGAAACACGACGCATGCTAACAGGACCGCAAATATATACGTCCCGAACAACAAGTCCATACCAGTCTAGATACTAGGGGTACGGTTTTTCAGCCCACGGTATACTGACAAAGAAAACACAAGGAAAGACGGGGGGGGGGGAGAAGGAGAGACAGAAAAAAAAGGGGAGAGAGAAAAAGAAATTGTTAGAAAGCCGGCCATGAATGCTCATGTTAACTAAATGTTCTAAATTAAAATCATTAAATTAAATATTAGCATTAGTAGTGATATTTAAATGACAAACTTGCTTTGAACCAACTATTACATATTTCTATAGTAAGAAGATAAATGAAGCATTACCTATGGTAGTTAAATGAGATGGGATATTAAGAACAGTGTCCACTATTGAAGATGTTTATAATTTTAATGAAGATATTTAAAGGATATTAAAATAATTTAAATATTTAATTCAACACTTAAGGAAAATAAAGGAGTATTTGCTACAATCACAAAAAATTACTGTTATTTTTTGTTGTACTGAGAATTCCAGACACAATTATTTCACTGTCACTAAGCATTTAATATAATACTCCATAATTTTAGTTCTGTGAATACAATGTACAACTGTCAAGATGAAAATATGTTGCTACATGAAGAACTTGCTCAAGCAAATTCAAAGAAAATGTCTTCTAAGATAAATAAATAATAGGCGGAATGAGCATAAGAGCCAGAGTTTCTCAAGAAAACAAGGTCCTCTGAATCAACATAACCAAAGAAGATTGGAGCTCAGGGAGACTGAGGCAGCATACACAGGGCCTGTACAGTGTCTTTATGGGACCCTGAAGCGTACAAACTAGTTTCTGTTTCTTGTGCTCTCTCTTGGTCTCTTTTCCTTCTGCTGTGTCCTATTCAGGTGTGCTGGCTTTTGTAAGAGCACGTAACCTACTGTTGCTCTTGGAGAGTACCTGGATTTTGATCTTAGCATTCACACAGCAGCTCAGAACCATGTGTAATTCCAGTTCTGAGGGATCTTAATCCTTCTCCTGATTTTGAGGACACTACATTCACCTAGTGCAGAATAAACACGCATGCACATAAAATAAAAGTAAACAAATATTTTTAAAATGTGAAACCTAAGCAAATTCTTCTTTGTGGAAACCTTGCAATCATCTTAATTCTCTAACTTTTAGTGCTTATTTTTATTATTTTCAGTGTGTGTGTGTGTGGGAGAGAGAGAGAGAGAGAGAGAGAGAGAGAGAGAGAGAGAGAGAGAGAGAGAGAGAGAGAGAGAGAGAGAGAGATTATTTGCATGTGAGTGTGGATGTATTCAAAATTCAGAGACATTAGGTCTTCCTAATTGGAATTACAGGTGATTGTAAGCTGTTCAACATAAGCAATGGGAATCAAAGTTGGGACTTCTGGAAGAGCAGCAAGGCCAATACTCTTGGCTTTTGACACATCTCCTTGGTCCCTATTTCTCTAATTCTTTGATAAATTTCAACATTTAATTTAGATTTTTATAATTTATTTTCATTTTTGATTATCCATTGATTTCTAATGTCAATTTGGCTTGCTTGAATTAGTCTTGCTTTACTTATTAAGTATCATTCAATATCTAGATTAGAAAATATTTGTGCATAATGTTATATAATAAATTGTGAAATATTTACACTGGTGAACTAAACACTACCAAATGTTACGTCTTTATAAGTGAACATTAGGAAATGTCGCTGTTAAAGCATACATCAGTTTTAAAAGATCATTGGCAGATGTACTTAAAATTCCAATGCAGGAAATATTGATGCAGACAGGTATATAATGCTTTTCTCAATATTTATTAGGGATTAGCATGGTTCAGAACTCATTCTAAACACAGGAAGACTTAATACAAGCAAGTTTTTTGTATGAATATAACAGCCAGAAAATATGCTATTAACCCATCCCAGCACTTCATTATATATTTGCATTTTAAAATATATAATCATATGCAAATGGTGAATGACACAAACTGAAGAAAATGAAATTTTCCAATTTTCATCATGAACTACATATGTGTTAAAGAACACTTTTATAGATAATGATCATAGAAACATGAAATATATATTACATATCAGACAAATTTTGATTGTTTAGATGTTGGTATCATTTAAAATCATTGAGATATACCAATGAGGAAAATGAATACAGAAGACAATGCTCTATCTTATTAAGCAACAGCAAAAGTCTATGGTGTGAATTCTTGTAGTTTTAGCATCTTTTTTCCAATGGTCAGCACTAGGGTTACATAACATAGATGTGGTCTCATATGAATTATGGATTTTTTTACTTTGTAATAAATGTGTGATTAAGCCTAAGCTAAGGCAGAGCATTCATAATTAATGATGAATCACTGTCTTAATTTGGGACCTGGTTGGTGGACCAAAGAAAATTCCAGCTACAGATCCAGTACCTTGTACAGTTGTTCACAGAAATGAAGATTGGATGTTCATGTAATAAAATAGAGGAGAATAGTTTTAGTCTTGTGTTTGCTCTCTTATATAATAGTGATGTAACACTTCTGTATTTTAGTAGATAATTTCAAATAAAATAAGCAACTACTATAAAAATGTGTAATTAAAAACACTCTGTTACCATGCACTGAAGTGTCCACATATATGTATTCTCTATACACTGAATCTAGGACACTTAAAAGTGTGTGTCTGTTTTCATAAACGTTAAGCAAACATATGTAGAATAAAATGGAGCAGTTGTATATGGAATTAAAAGTACCACTCTATTCTTATCCTAGCAGTAGGTATTATACATTAGTACAATTGGCAAAAGAATGATACAGACTACTCTTTTAAGCATTCCATATATCTTGCACTATCTGTAACTATCTGTAATCAATAACAATAAGACAAAAACCTAATTCCATGAACTCCCCTTTCCCAATCCATTCTAAATCTGTTCCACATGACCTGTAATACCATTGTCAAAGTAAACATTTTAAAATGGATTTCCACATTTGAAATTCAGGGGTTTTCAGACCTAGAAAGAAGTATAGGAAAAAGGACAGTAATAATTTCTAAAACTTAAGTGGATGTACAAAATGAAAACTATTACTGGGTAATTATGTATAATTAATATATGCTAAAACATAAGCAAATACAGCCAATATAAGCTTAGATATCTTAATGAAATCTATATCTTATGACTCATATACTCTAGATCAAATAAGCCAACTGTACTTCTAGTAAGGAAAAAAAATAAAACACCTAAAAAGGATATCTATTCTTTAGTTAGAAATTAGTAACACATGGATTTGTGGGGGCTTTTTCTCTAATTCAATAACTATTAAACAAACTTGCTATGCTAAGCACTCTCAGGTGTACTGAAATGACAAGATTCGTGCTTTCCTACAGCTTATATTTAATAATATTAACAGACTAGTATGTTTATATCAGTGCTTAATTTCTGTATACTGGTCTCAAATCTTACTCTGAAAGGATGTGAATACTCATGTTTAAATAATCTCCGTCTCCAAATTTTTGTGCTATCACTTACATTTAATAATTGAAAATTTTACTATTAATTTAAACATTTTCCTTGAATAAGCTGAATTAATTATTCATAATATGACCACTACTGAAACATTTTGGATAAACATACATGTTAAGAGTAAGTCATGGCTCACTTTTAGGAAAGTTTAATTCATATAACTCAGACACTCAGGAAACATTTGCTTACGCATATGCCTGTAGTGTTCTCTCTTCATGAAAACATATCCACGGATTTTATTTTTACTCTCCTCACAAACCGGCTGCCACAGACTAAGGCTAATTTTGGAAATTAATATGGTAAGCAGAATGAAAGCAGAAATAGACAATTACAAATTTCTACCTTGCACAGTAGTAACTGTGCTGTTTACATACTCTCACTTTCACGAACTACATTGTGGTTGTATGGGCAATGTTGTACAGAGAACAAGAATCCTGACAGAGAAAACAAAAGCATAATTAGGGAAACACCTCCAAAAAATGAAAAAAGAAATGCAAAAGTGAATATTCATTTTAAGGTCTAAGGAATTCAGGTCCAAAAAGGAAGTGAACTGGTAGACAAGGCCACTCATTTTTGCAATTCTAGAAAGTATAAATCATTAAATAGTATAAAAACATGTTTTCTTTTTTCCTTTTGAATTTCAGGTTTTTAAAGTTCCTTGAGCTGGCCTCAAATATCTGTTCATTCAAATAAATATTGTCTTATCCTTATGGGTAAATAGAAATACAAGAACCCTCCTACAAAAAAAGTTCTTTAAATGTTTGTTAGAATAGGAAATTTTTCTAAATTATAATGTTAATCTCACTTATAGTATAATTTAATTAGTCATATGTGAATGACTAGTTTACATGCTATAATAACAAGCTGTTAAAATTATATAAGCATAAGCCCCACAACAATAGTACATACATCTTCCTGTTTCTTATTCTCCTAATTTTACTTGGCTCCATTACTCAGATTATTTTTATATTATCTAAAAACAAAACATACCCTAAAACATCCACAAGGTATGATGTAGTCAACTATTTATTCATATTATTATAAACAAGCAAACTTCATCTGGAGACTCAGTAAAAAAGGTGCTTCTCAGTGTCGAGAAGAAAAGTAAACACACAGATTAAGAAAAATGTCAACAAGAGATAGCTGCTCTATTTGACTCAAGTATTTCTTGTATAACTGTAAAACTTAATGCCTTCAAATTAAAGACTTAATGAAGTACAATTATAAAATGATATTTCAGTTAAATTTCATTTTATAATGAGTTCTTTTATTGTATTCCATTTTAGAAATATGCAATTTTCACATTTGTGTTTAAATTTCTCTGAGAAGTGGATTCCGATAATGTTTGCTTTCCTCTCTAAAATGTTTATAAAATATTGATTCATTTGAACGTTTGAGTGTCAGCATAGTGCTTCCTAATATGGTTTCAATGTCTGTAAAAATCGATGCTTAGCAGCACTTAAAGGACAATTTATAATGATTCCCTTCCATATTAATTTTATGTACATTTTATCAGAGTTTCAAGTTTTTAAGATACCATTTTTCAAATGAATTGAAGAGGTATTTAAGATGGCATGTATTCATC